TGCTCCTCATTGAGGTTTGACAAAAGCCAGAGAGCAGAGGTTATTATTTGAAATGATGTTATAAATCTCATTTTATCTGAGGTACGGCTGGACTGCACACAATGTGCATGAATGCTGTTCCATATCCGTGTGTTTCTTCTCTGTTCTCCAACAGCTGTTCTCGCCGTGTACTCACTAGTCTGCCAGATGTTACAAATCCAGGGAAAGTTCAGAGTCACATTCTCCCTCTGTAGGACTTATTCATGACCAGCTTGAGACCTGCTGTTTGGTCTAACACTTAACCTGGATTTTCTAGTAACTCATCAACTATGATGACAAAACATGAGGTTAAGAACTCATTGTTGCCAGCACAGCTGACACTGGAGATATGATCTCATACCCTTACTCTTAAGTGAAGTGGCCTCAAGACCACATGTGTAATAATTATTGGCACATATGTGATCATTAATGATAGTTAGGGTAGATGCTTTAGCAAAGCATTGGGTGGAGACCCTTTGGATCATTCTTAGTTTTTCTGACTCTCTCATAAGAGACTAATTTTCTTAATTAAATGTAGCAATTAACATTCTTCAGCATATGTATTCACTTTCCTTTATGTATTGTTAGAAGCAGGGGCTACAAGAGATAATAACATTGGAAGTTTATCTTCTGTTTAAAGTATGTTTAACCCCTCCTCTCAGCTACTCAAGTAACTGGAAGACTCTTAAGTACTTACTTGGTCTCCAGATTCCCTACAGCAATGTGGAGAAGAGCCAGTCAGGGAGACACTGAGGACAGCTGGTTCATGTGTATTAAGTGACATAATGTCCAATCTCAGTTATTCTGTGCTTCTGTTTAGTGTGAACTCAGGACTGCACGAATGATTAGCGGACTTAAGATTTAATTTGCTGGCAGTCAGCATGGCTCCAACTAAGTAGTTAAGTCAAAGGAATAATTAAAGATCTATTAATTTTATGATAATCGCAAGGCTAGGTTTGTTCGGGCAGTCTTTTTCATGAATGGGATGAAGTCTATTTATACAGTGCTGTATAGCACTATTATAATGACATGGAAAATCTCAGTTAGCTGAGACATTGTATCTAGTATAAGCTGATCTCACAGGGCACATTCTCCAGACTCAGCTATTTACTGTATTAAAAACTTACTCCTTTGACAGGGAAACTAACTTATCAAAGGATGTTGAACATTTTTGCAGGAGCCCAAGTTAGCCCCTTGAAACTAGGCTGGTCCTCGCAGGGTTGAGTAAAATAGTGATCGTTGGGTCATTGCCATGCTCATATCCTAAATCATAGATGGTGTGCTTTAATTAAGCAAACTAGGCAGCACGCTCACTTCAGGAATACAGGAAGCATCAGTGTTTGTCATGTGGAAAACAAGTTTAATTTGAAAGCTTTCAGGAGATATTGCCAGGCCAGACAATGTTGACGGACCCTCATATTGAAACCTCCTGGCCACACATTGCAAACTCTCACAGCATCATCACTAGTCACCCAACATCTGGTATTTTTAGAGCCTCAACTTCATGTCGTATTGTTAAGAGAAAATTGTTTAAGTCCACTTATAGGCTTTGTGGACACTTGAGGAGAAAAGTTTGAAAATGCAATCCATTAGATCTCAAAAGCAACTAAGACCTCATTTTTATGTATTTATTTAAATCCAGTTATTGTTAAGCAAATCTCATGATCTGTGGGACTGGGTGATACTTACCATTTCCATGCATCCTTGATTAGGAGGGTGAAAGTGCAAAGTTTTCCATGATGCCACGCAATAAAGAATACCCAGTACTGTTTTCTGAGTACTGGGGGAATTGTCTATAGTTAAGTAATCATTAAGTAGAAATGCTACTACTCTCAGTCTGAGAATTCTCAGACTGAACCAGTTCTGGAAACAAATGCAACATAGATAAATCCAAGCAGTCCTGTGCCCAGGCTGTCCTGGTTTGGGGAGTTAAGATAGTGATTCCACATAGCACTGGACTGTGCTTTGCAGAGGTACCAATTCATTTGGAACTTGGTTGCATATCTCAGAGCAATGCATTGCATAAGGTTGACGTGTCTGCAGTCTTGCAGAGCTGTGACTGTTTTGTAGAGCGATTGTAAATGCCACTTATTATTCATGAAGACTTAAGAGCAATTGAAGCTTTTACGGGGCAAAGTACATCATTAACTCTACCTTAGACCTTAGTGAATCTGCATCTTTTTACTCTGCACTAATTTCTAGGCATCTTGTTTTATTTTTTCCCTGCTCCAAACCATGTGAAAGTCAAAATTCTTCATTTCTGGGGGTTTCAAGTGAGACTTGAGAGAGCTGGGGAGAGACTCCAGACCATATTGATGAGGGATAATTTCCTACAGGCATAGGCCAGCTGACACCAAAGTAATTTTTATGAAGAGTATAATAGAAAGATTCAAAGTCTAAACTGAAATTGAGTCTTTTCCAAAATCTGCTATTGTGCGTGAATAGAATTTAAAAAACATACTGTTTTGGAAGGTGGTACAGATCTCATCATTGAGGTCTCTTGCTCAGTGTTGCTCAATATTCCAGAAGGTCATCCTTTCAACTGCTATTGTGTATTTCAGTTGATTAAACAAGACAAGAAGATTAATCATCTTTTAAATTTCCTTTTTTTTCCTTCATAGTTTATTATTGTACTTTGAAAGGAAGAAGCATAGTTTAACTTAACCTAGATTCTCATCCAATAATATGTGTATAGATTAGATGGAGGAAATGCTCCCTATCCACAGAATAATAGATTACTAGTTTAAATTACTTGTCTTAAAAAGATCCTGATTCGGCTTTGCTGAGCATAAAATATTAGATTTACTGTTTATTTTTAGTGGATTGCTGCCAGTTTTCTTCTCCCTGGATGTCTTTAGATTGTTTAAAACATTAAAAAATGCTCACAACAAACATATATCTCCTTACAAGAAATCTGTGTTGGTTTCTCAGCAGAGATGTAAAATCGTGTTGTTGGGACATGAACTTTGCTGTTATGGAATTTTTCTTTATTGGCTTTATGGATTATTTTTTTTTCTTTAAACCCACACGTGTGGCAAATTATTTTGTGCTTGTGTTGCTTATTAAATCTTAATAAAGTAAGAAAAAGGAATCCAATGAGAAAGCTTTAGGTGTCTCTTCAGGTTATAGTAGGTTGTTTCATTCTATTTAATTGGCAGTAATGTTTGAAACCCCTGACCTCATCTTTGCAAAAATCTTGTTATTTATACTTTCTGAATAAATGGTGATAGGCCTGATTTTGATCAGCTTTATGGGTACAAATGAGAAAGTAACTGTGTCAGTGATATTATTTTGGATTTGCATCGATGTAACTTGAGCCAAATTTGGCCTTTAAGACTATTCATCAACCCAAAATACAAGCTAGTATAGACTCTGTAGTTGCAAGTGGATTTTCACAAATAAAAGATTACAAAGTCAGGCATATGTGGCAGATTTTTTGGGACCAGGTCAGTGTAGTGTGTTTTGCCTTTTGATGCAAGAAATATTCAGTATTATTTTTTGCAACGCCTCTGCATAAAGCAGCGCACTCCCTTGCTGAATCAAGTGCTCAGCATGACGTTCTGAGTGTATTGCAGGAATTTTAGGTGACCCATATGGGGCCTTTTCTCCACTCTTAGGAGCACTGTCTCTGCAGGGAACACGTAACTGGCCCTGAGAAACTACAGCAACATACAGTATCTGAGCAATGGGGTCTGAGTGTTCTTCAGCTGTCACAGGTCAAAAATTGTTAGTTAGTATAAAACAGCTCTTGACTGGAGGACACATAAATGTTACAACAAAGATCTGGACTGATCCTTTGACTGAAAAGTGGTTGCTTAGAAGCTGCATCACTTGCCATTTCACCCTAAAACACTTTCTTTAGCACCACCAACTGTATTGACCTGACCTCTACTGCCTCTATGATTAGTTTTTCTTTGCTTATAATGAATTAATAAATTGGGGTTTTTATTATGAAAGAGTCCTTATTTCCTTATTAATGGATAGTGCCCCAGACTGCTGGGATGGAGATGAGGAAACATGGTTGGAAGGGATTCTGTAACAAAGATGTTTGAAGAAAAGAAATAATCTAAGATTGTAATGCCTATGGAGCTTTAGACAGGAGTAAAGAATGAAAGGTTTGCACTTTAAATGCATTTAGTCACTAGCACAACACAGAACAAGCCAAAACATAAACACGCTATCTCCTATCTTACTTGTCACAGCTTATAATGAATGAACGTGCTGCAGATTGAAGTGTCACATTAATGAGCTACAAAGTAAGGAATGAGTTCCTCAGCTTTGTACAATGTAGTTCTATCTGTGTCTGAAGTACTGAACTATCCATTTTGCTTGGAAATGCATTTGGAAGCGGGAGAAGTTGAAATGCGTACTCTTTATACATATTAATAAAATATTGTTTTTTCTTTTTTCTCTCTTCCTCCCAAAAATAATATGAGGAAGATAGACTGGCTTCTGGCTTTGGAATTGGAAAGATCTAAGAAATATAAGTGTAGGAAGTTAACTGGCTATTTGAATGTAACATTTGGAAACTTAATGTATAGGCAAAAGAGAAAGAGGGGTGAGAAAATCCCATCAATAATATTTATGGAATTTTTGGTCCATTTCTGGATGAAGGGTACTTTATGAACTGCTAGATCTTCAGTCAGTGAAACAATCCCTCTGCTGCCATCTTTCTATATGTGAAATTCCCATTACTTGTAGGAAAAGATTATGGGATCAGCTTACTGAGGAACATGCTTTATGAATTATGTTTCCTGACCTATCATTCTGTTAATAATGAAATATGGTGGTAACGTAAATGCTTCCATTGCTTGACAACAGCTTATTTTGGTGAGGAACATAGATGGGTTTTTTTGGTTTGTGTTGCATATTCATCTGTCTGGGAACTGCGTATCTTTATATTTTGCACTGTCTCGTATTTTTTTTTCCTCCTTGTCTAACACTTTTTTTTTTTTTCCTCTGTCCTGTGTGAATACCTCTAGATGTTCGACTGGATCAGCCACAACAAGGAATTGTTCCTGCAGAGTCACACGGAGATTGGCGTGAGCTACCAACACGCGCTTGACCTGCAGACGCAGCACAATCACTTTGCCATGAATTCCATGGTGAGTTCATGTTCACGCCGTGAACACTGGGTCCGTGCGTGTGAGTGAGGAAAGGGCTGGTGTGTGAGGCCACCTCCAGTTCAGAGAACACTATGGACCTGTGAGAGGTGAAGTGAGGGAGGTCAGGCTGGGCTGTGGCAGCAGCTCCCTTTCTGGGAAGCAGGGTGTTGCTCTGTCCACCCAGCCATTGATATATGATTATTTCCTTGACTTAAGAGCAGCACAGTCCTCTGGAGTTTGTTTGCATTTTGAAGAGCAAATCCAATATTTCTTAAGTTTTTGACATTCCTTTGACTGGAAATTAATGAGATCTGTAGGTGGCACCTTAATAATTTATGCTTCTACCCCCACACCCTGCTAAGGTACTTTTCAAAACCTTGAAAAAGAGATGTTAATCAAGCTGTCAGTTGTGGACACAGTGGGATTTTGGCTTTTTCAGTAGTTAATCGGTCAGTCTTTTTGAATGCAACTCAACTTAGCTTAGGTTTAAAAAAAAAAAAAAACCAAGAAAAACAAACCAAAAAAAGCATCATTATACATTTATAAGTGCTTTGCTCACTTTTTATTCTTTCCAGGCAAAAGGTATTTATTCTGGAAACTGCTCTGCTTTCAGCACAGAAATGAGGACAGAATGTATTGATGTTTTGAGTGTTGCACTGGGTTAGAAAAATGCTTGCGTACCCCCTGCTGCAATTGTACCGTGCAGAGATGAGCCCCCCCTGAATGCTCTCTGTTGACTACACAAAAGCTTGCCCCGAATAAATCAACTGCTGCAGGTGTACCTCTTCCTGCTCTGAGACCTCAAAGGTGGTGGTTGATGTCTAAGTTGGTGGTGTAAGTCACAAGAGAGTCACACCCTCCTGTGCCGCCGAAGGGCAAGGGATTTGAGAGCAGTTGTCTGAAATGTGAAAAAAATGTCCTGACTACCTGAGGTTGTTAAGACTGTAATCATAAGATTACAGGTGTTAACCCTGGTATTCTGGCCAAATTCCAGATCAGGTAATTAACTTCTCTGACCTAAATTCCACCCATTATTTCCACCTCCCTACCTATTCTTCACTAAAGCACTGTCTCTCACTAGGCATTGCGTGACAGTAGAAGATGAGAAATGTTTATAATGTCTATTAATGTATTTATTGTGTTTATAATTGAAAGGAGCACTGAAAAGCAGGCTCCAGGCACCTGATTGTTAAGCTTACCAGTACAATGCCATCCAGCAAAATACAGGATAGCGTGGCCTCCATACAACACTGCTGCTCACAGAATCCTAACAAATAAACGTGTCCTGGAGGTTAGTGCATTAAGTCATTTGACTTATGAAGGATGCAAAGTCAGTCATAATTCTTCAGAAAACACCATTAGAAGAGTCAAGATGGAGGAGCTCCCTTTATCGTTTTTGTGGTACTGTGTGGTAATATTTTCTTAAAATAACTGGGAGCTAAACTTGGAAAGAGATAATTGCTGTTAATAGAAAATTAACGAGTGACAGGGAGGGTGCCACCTAATGGAAGAAAATTTTTTTTCCTCCATTCTTCTTCTGTCTGTCCCCAAGTGAACTTTTGGGAAGGAGCAATGCAAGGAAATGAGACATTTGCAAAGATCTTGGGGGAACTGCTGGAGGCAGGGACCTCTCAGTGGCTGCACTGTGGCTCGCAGCTGTGCCATCTTACCATCTCATTGCTGCCAAAGCCCTGTCTAATAGATCTGCCCAGGAGAGAGATCTCTAGAAAACACACTCTCCAAATTCATTGGGTCATGCCTTTTGTCACGTGCTCTTTCTATATGTTTCTATAGGGATGTTGTGACCAAAGCTCCTTCTTGGAAAAAAAAATTGTTGCTTTCTTTTATACAATAATAATTCTTCCTTTTAAAATAACAATGTGGGATGTGTAAAGTCATGCATTTGAGATAATAAACTGTAGTGTGGTGGTTTTACTTTCCAGTAAAGACCATAGATACTTTTTTTTTTTCTGTCATTCAAGGCAGTGCGTGTTTTCATTTCAGGTTCAAAATAAATTATGTTAGTCTTTATCACAGCTGTATAATGTTTATGGTGAAGTGATAATACTTTTCATGAAGATGAATATTTAGCTCCAACGTTTTGTGAGTAATCTCAATAATCTAGTAAATTCAGTAGAGTTAAAAAAGCAGTGTTTCAATATGACACACAGCATACTGCTTGTAGCTCTGCACTTGGATACATGGTGTACATGCCATTTGTTCCAACTGAAGTTACTGGTGTTTCCTTTGCCAGGGCTTTTTTTATGCCTGGATCTGTTAACCTCCTTAAAGAATGTGTTACCGTTTTCTGTGGGACATGCATAAAAATGGCAGTGTTCAGTGCTGGCATTGCTGCCTATCCTGCTGTCGGGGAGTTTGCTGTCTGACACTAGATGGAGATGCATGTTGTCCTAAGGAAGTCGCAATGTATTTCAAACACATTACAATTATCATGTAAAGGCTAATGATGTCTGTTAAAAATTCCCGACATTTATCTGAAATGAACGATATTTTTCTGTACGTGGGCTGAGCAAAAATGCCATCCAATATTATTCTGCAACAGGCTACATATAATGTGCCTTATTATAGAAACTTAAAGGTCTTAAAGATATCTCATGAGTTTATTTTGTCACTGAAACATTCTGCTTTGGATTTATGTGTTAGGATCATTTCACAGATGGTTTATAAACTCACAGTAACACAGTGCACCCTGGTTATTTTTTTTTTAAGAACTCTTCCAACAATCAAATTTCACCTTCAATTAATCTGCAAAACCTTTTTCTTGCAGCCCACCTTTGCTGCTTGCCGTCACAATATCTCAGCTAGTTCTCTAGGAAATGAGATGAACACGGCCAAGTTCCTTGCAGATTTAATGCTTCTCACTGTTCATTTTTCTTTTGTGAGTGTAAGGTACTCTTTTAATACATGTATTAGAAGAAAGTATTGTTACAGCTAGAGTTGGAGGATTTAATTAGGAGGGAAGGTCTCCCAGCATGCCTACTAGATGATCAGGGCTGAATTAGTGTATTTCCCTGTGGGAGATCATTCCCCAATTGAAACTCCACTTCTGTCAGTGCTTATTGCTGAGACTGAGGGCTGATACCTTACCAAGTGTTAGGGACCTAGCAGTGATTGCTTACACTGGGAGGAAGAGCTACGTTATTGGCACTGATGACCAGAATCGAGGCCTTGTTTAGGTGACCGAAATGGACCAAGAATTGGTGGACAAGGCAGAGTATGTGCCACTTGCAAGGCTTTCCTAAACTGTAAAAGAAACTCTTGTATATCATGATGAGGATGTACATGTGGGGAATTTTTTCTTTTGCTTGTAGAAGGCAAACATCCCCTTTTTTGACTGAAGTTTCAAAGTTGAAATAAAGTCAATGAATAATTAACTCTAACATGGGGAGAATTTTTTGGAAAGTCTGCAAATCCACGTAGAATAAAGGTATTTCAATGCTAGATTAAATATATTAGCCAAAACTTGTGTGTATCCTAGTGTCACTACAACAGAATGTCAACTGGAGTGCTTTTACCCTTACTTTTAGACATTATTATATTGTTTTCTCATTGTTTGACCTATTGTAGTTCTATATAGCCACAAATCAGTGATCCCTTGTAATCCTCTTTGGGGACATCTCTCTGTTTTGAAAAAAAAAAAAACATAAATGAGGCCTTAGGTTGTATTTAAAGTGAGACTCTCTAAGAACTTCCTAGTAGTGGATTTTCCAGCCTAGAGGGAAAAATGAAGTCACAGACATTAATTGCTTTATTTAATTTATTTCCTGTTAGGATTAAAATATCTATAAAATAGTGAGATAGAAATACGGAGGTTTTTAGAAATTGAGGTTTTTAGAGGTGAACAAACCAGAGCCAAAGTAAGATTTAACTTTGTGAAATGTCAACAGTTGACTTTGGGCAGCATGGATTTTACTCAGAATATTATATCCTGGCAGATAAAGATGAAAAACCACGGCTTATGATTTCAGTCTACTTTAAGGTGGAAAAGAAATGTCTTGCATTTCTTGGATTGTGGTAAATTACATGGTTTTCTCCTGAAAGTATATTCTGAAGTGCCTTGAAGCCATAATGTGTTTTACCTCAATCCAGAATATGGATGTCATCTTCCCAATTTTTCCTCATCTTTCCCAGCAATACTGACACTGGGTAATGGTCCTGAGATTGTAAAATGTATTATGTCTGGGTAGGCTGTGCTATCCCAAGTTCCAGATCTTTAGCCAAGTGTTTGCTCTGTCTTGTTTTTCTGTGACACCTTGAAGTCCTATGTGTTCAAGCCTCATTTCAATGTCTGTGCTTCACTGGGGTGGGACAGATAAAGCGGAGGTGAAGAGTGTGCACATCCAGAAGTAGGAGGTATCCCCATTGCAATGCCTGTTGAAGCTACACAGAAGATCACATCACATGTGATATTGCGCTTGAATCCATTTATTCCTCAGAAAGCACCAGGAGAAGCTCAGGAGTCTGTTTCCTGAGCCATTTCCATGTGGTGCACTAAGAGGTGTGAGCAGGTGACTCCCCAACAGCCCCTTGCTTTGTGCTGGAAAATGTATGGAGTTAGTGGGCTGGCTATAGGACAGGTTGGTACTCTTCCATGAAAAGTTCTCATCTAGAAAAGTGAAATTTCATCCATGAATGTCCTCATCTCTGTATAAAAATATAACAAATAGACACAACAATATATAAGTCTCCCTTACTTATAAAGCAGACTCTAAAATCATCAGCAGTATTTCAACTAATTTTACCTTTACCCTTCTACTAGTTAATATATCTATGTACTGTAGTTATAGGGAATTAAGTTCAAAGTTGGTTTCCTTCATGCTCCTTGCATTGCAAGGGCTGAGATAATTCTGCAGGAAAAGAAATAAATAAATAAAAGCAAGATGAAGGCAACTATTTTTTACATGAAATCAAAACTTCTTCAGCAACAAAGATCCATATCATCATTTGGTGCAACTCACAAAGCTCTAGCAACTGTAGTGATGCTATGCTCTTTTCCACCAGAAGAGCTGACCTGAAGTATTGCATAATGATCTTGGCTGCGGCTCAGCCATGAAGATTTTCTGGGAGAAAGACTTAAATATATAGTCTAAATTCCAGTTTCTAACCTAGAGGGACACAAAGAAGTGTTTGACTATGGCTGGTGATCAAAGTTCCAAATCATAATATCTTTTTTAGTATATTTAAAACAATTTTGATGGGTTTCTCTATTTGTAGCAAAAAAAATTTTATTAATTTGATGATTTTTAGACAAATCCTATTTTTAAGAAAAGGCGATATAATAAGGGGAAAAAAAGAAAGCAAAACTGGAGGCTGGGTATTGCTTTAAATCTGTGTTATTTATGTGACAGCTGTCACAGTCATGGTTCTACCAGGGAGAGCAGAGAGGCTGGAGGGGCTGTGGCCCCATCCTTCTTTCCTTTAGCACCTACAGGTATGATGAGTGTACTTCATCGTTATCCCCCACGCTTTGCAGACATACTTTGCCCTGCTTCACAACTTAGTTTGGACCGGTGCCTGCCTTGGCAGGGCTCTGTTGTGTTTCGTGTTTGGATTGGCAGATATCTTTCCACATTGTACTCCCACTCACTATGATGAGATCCTGCTCCAACAAACACTTCCACCTCTGATTTATTATTTGCCTATGAGTAATACTGTTAAAATCATCAGGGCTGTGTCTGTCCTTGTGCATAAGGGTCTTACAGATTCTACTCCCTGAAATTCCTAAAGCTCTTTTGAAATACTTTAGTGAGACAAGAAAGCAATGAGTCAACATTAGCAAAACATCTCAAATTCTGGGATGTTCCTTTTTTCTAGTGAGGAGGAAAGAGAAAGGAGAAGTGTTTACACAAAATGACATTCCAGAAATCTGCAAGACAGCTGTCATTTGTCTTTTGATGGTGCATCTTTGTAAGACATTGTCATAATGGTTATTTATTTTCAGGTTTATGTTCCTATGCAGAACAGGGGTATTGTAATGCAATTATGTTGCTGTCTACAGTTCAGCTTGAGGAAAAAGAGATCCTTCCACTGCTTCAAGGCTGAATAAAAACCATCATGGAAAATTCTTATGAAAGAACAGAAAATATTACCCTTTTAGTAGGCTTCTTGAATCCTTCTAAATTCAGAATGTAGTTAAATGATATCTCTGCTGGAGAACAGCTTAAAATAACCTGGAGAAAAGATAACATTTTAACTGAAGAATGTAATTTAATAGACATTTCTATAGAAACTCTCGTATTTCTATAGAATATCCTTATAGGCTCTTTTAAATTCTGTAAGGCTTTTCCATTTGTTGACACTGCATGTCCATAAGGGATTGTCAGAGAGTTCTCAAAGGACAGAAAGCAAACATTTCATTTATGACTATGTGGATATAGCATCCAGGCATATGAAGTAATGCAACAGAAATATCAAGAATAAAATAGAAGCAATGACTAGACCCTAAAAAGTGAGTAAATAGCTAAAGTATGGCAAATTAGTTTTACATAAATAAATTCAAGGTGGGGGGGGAAGATAACAGTGTTAGATAATGGCATAGATGTGCAAAAAAATTCCTGAGGGATGTATTTTCAGAGTGGAAGGTATTATGCCTGCTATTCATGCATATTTAAGCAGGTGGTTGATTGCTCTCACTGAACTGCTCGGCTTTACTCCAAGTGATGGTGTTTGGAATGTGTAATGAAGGCAGAGGGTGGTCACGGTTCTTCCTTCTCTTTATTTATGTGTGCTTTTTAATTTTCAGAATGCCTATGTCAACATCAATCGGATCATGTCTGTTGCGTCAAGGCTTTCCGAGGCAGGCCATTATGCTTCCCAGCAAATTAAACAAATATCTAGCCAGCTGGATCAAGAGTGGAAGAGTTTTGCTGCCGCTCTGGATGAGCGCAGCACCATCTTAGCCATGTCTGCTGTCTTTCACCAGAAAGCTGAACAGGTGAGCTGCTTCTGTGACTGGCAAAATGATCCACCGCTAGTTTGATAATTGATGATGCTGTGATGTGTGCAGTGAGGTTAAGAGTCTTGTTCCTAGTGGATCAGTGTCTCAAAAACAAATAGTAACATTTCCCCAAGAAAACTTGCACATGTTCCCTGAGCGGGTAAGTAGATATGTTTATGTGTTAGTGATGAGAAAGAATCTGATTGAAGTGAAATGCACTGGTGCAGTAACATGCTGCCTTATTTCTATTGCCTAATATTTCATCATTGCTGTGGATAGATTCAGGATTATTATGGTCAGGAAAACAATATAGATCTTCACTCATATGTATATGTGCTATATGCACAGGAATGTGCACACATATGACACAGACCCATACCAGCAGATAATTTCTAGGAGCCAAATCACATTATTGTTAATGAAATTTATGGAATTCATTCCACCCCCTATTCTCCATAGCCCCAAACTTTGTTAGACCTCGCTAAATAGAGACTTCAGACACAGCTAGGAACATCCAAGAAAATTTTCCATGTCTTTGAACTCTAGTTTATGCCTTTAACAACTACCAAAATTGTTCCATAATTTCATAGCTACAAAAGGTTTAAAATACGTCAGTGAATAAACCTTCTGCTTTTTTAACACTTTAACCAGGTCCAATTAACAGTGATGGTTCAACTTTGATCATATGTTGATTACATTCATTTTCCAGTGACAAACACTGCTTTGGGGCTCTCTTTAGTATTGTTGTGTGCTTGTTTTTCCAAGTAGTTAATATCAAAGCTATTAAGTGGGTGCACTTGGTGTTTATAAAATGACCCATACCTAAGTGTCCAAAGAAGAAATTAGAACTGATAAGCCAGAAATTGTGCCTCATAAGCCATGTATATATGGAAAATTTTAGCTCAAAGAGTAAAGATTTTCTTTATTGTTTGTTTCTGACTGTGGAACTATAATGGATTTTTCTTCATTTTGTGTTTCCCATTGACAACAGGCCATAGCATAGAGCAATTACTCACCCTACTGGGCACTTACTCACGTAAGCTCACTCAGTGGCTCTGATGGGGCTGCTACACTAAAATGCCCAGTACAAGTACTTTCATCTCTCAATGGGCATTGCAGTGTTTAGGTGTAGTCTTCATGACGATAAATGTCAGTCATCATGTATTCATAAAAAGAAATAAATAAAAAAAATATATCCAGTCTATAGTCACAAAGAGAATGTTCAAGGTTTATTAAGGAATTAATTCTTTCTTGTTTGTTTTGAGTTTGCAGGTTTTTTCCTTTTCTTTTTCTTTTTTTTTTTTACACCAGCAATTCCCTATTTTTCTGAAGTGTCAGTCTTGTTTGCAATTTATGAGGTGTTGCTGAGGCATTGTATAGCATGAAAGGCAGTAAAACAGAAAGCTGTATTGAACTGTCTGTCAAGCTGGAGGTGATTTTTTTGTGTGTGTGTCTTCCTACCTTTTGAACACTGTCAAAGTGGGTATTTTTGCCTCAGCCTTAACTTGAGAAAAAGTTACACTAATGTCACTTTCAGCTCTGGGTCTTTTTCCTTTACAATTGTATGGATGGGTCTGAAAAATCCAGTCCTGCCTTGGCAGCTCTTCTTAAGGAACTGAAGTTTGTGCTGCCTGACAGAAGCTAGTCTCTCATTACTAAGCAGACAAGAGAATTTGCTAATTGTGAATAGCAGTTGCTCTTCACTTGCAAAAAGAGACAACTTGGTGGAAAATAAGTGCTGATGTGAAGCCTGTGAACTCAGACTGCTGCAGAAAAAAAATGTGGGAGTCAGTGTGTCCATTAGCCAGGACTAAAATTTTGGCCTTGCTTTAATAACTCTGGTAGGATAAACCAATGACTTGAATGCTAATAATTTAGTCATTTGACCTCTGTATAATATAAAAAATGAGGTGTTTGGGATTTGGTCTATAACAGTCTGTTGTCTATCAAACATTCCTTCCAAATGTGACTCTTTATTATTTGGCATCACCCCGGGTTTTTTTTTTTACTCAAATCAAGGCTTTGTTATTTTACAATAAATAAGGCTTAAATCTCTGAAGCAAAGATGTAGATAAACCCACTATTTCCTCTGTCCCAGATCAAATCTTTTTTTACTCCCTTTGTTCTGTCAGTAAAGGTAGTCTTGCTGCAGATCCAACCGTTTCTCCCACAGTGTACCCCTGCTTCCCTCATACTGGTCTGATATGCAGATTGTCTTTCCTTCTCCAGTGTGATAAGCTGCTACAGTCTCTTTGTTCATTCCTTCCTATTGATTGAAGTTCTCTGTGATGCCAACAGGAAGCAAGTCTATTAGGACCGTAATCTTTCAGCCTTTGGCACACCTCAGCCCACAAGGAAGTTGTTGGCTTGGGACAGAGATTTATGAAAAGCTCTACGATCTCTCTAATATGCAAGCTGAGCAGGAAGCAACTTGTTTTTCAAGGTCTCTTCCTAAAGACCCCACACAGAAAACTGCACAGAATACAATTTGTCTGGCTTGGAAGGATGAAAGGCTGAGTCAACCCTGCTGGGAATTGAACCTCACATCTGTCTTCACGTGCCTGAGAATCATAGCGCTTTCCTGGCTCTTATAGCAGATACATGTGGCATGTTGAATGGAACTTGGCTGAATGAGTTCCTGGATCAAAGCTTTTTTTTTTCTTTTTTTCCCCTTTGTTTCTTTCTGTTTCTTCTTTTTATTGGTGTGTGAGTTTGTGTGCACGCGTGTGTCTTAATTTTTTTAAACACAATTTCTACATACTAAACATTTGTCAAGAAAAGAGCAATTAAAAGAAAATGAAAAAGGAAAGAAAAGAAAGAAGAGAAAAATCTTGCCAATTTAGCCTCCAGCCAGGCTTCCTTCAGCACATGTGTTTGATCAAAAGCTAGTAAACTAAACTCCAAAAAACCACTATGTCCAGGTCAAGGTGCAACTCAGGATATTCAGTGGAGGTATTTCCCAAATGTCCCTTAATTCCACCTGCTGCAAATCTCATTTGCTGGCTGGGTTTTTTTCTTCTTTTTCCTTTTTTTTTTGATTTCCTTTCTTACGCTAGCATGGAGATATTCTAGCACAGAAGAGAAACTGCTTTTGTATCTTTAAGTATGTCTGAGATTATTCAAAGTTACAGGAGAACGTAGGAGAACATGCATTATCTCACTGTGATTTCAAGAGAATTGATTTACACCAGATGAGATTATGGCCCACTAACTGCCAGATGCGGGAAGCAGACGTACCAGGTATCTTCCCTTTCGTGGATATAATCTCTGAAAGTGTGCTAAAGTACTTATCAGATGCTCACTCTACAGAGCCTGTCAGAACAAATGAATAAATGTCTTCAAGCAATTAATGCTGGACAGAGTCTACCCTCAGAAGTGGATGAGCAGAATTACTATTTAAGGTAGTAGGTGTTAAGTTCACACACTGGACATTTACACTGATTCTCTGAAGACTGACCCCTGGCCATTTGTTTCATATTCCCTTACTCCCCAACCAGGAAGACTACTGTTCTCCTCTCTGCCTAGATCTGTCCAGCACATCCTGAACTTCCCTATTTGAGGAAAGGAAATGAAAATGCGAGGAAAAGATAAAAGGGAGGAAGAATTTGAGGAAAGGGAGGAAAGGAAAAGCCAGTTGATATCTATAAGATGCAGGGATAAGACCAAGATAACTTTAGCATTAGATAGGGAAATTCTAGAAATGTCAACAGGAAATATACAATTAGCCTCATACAAAAAATTCAGGGCATCAAGAGATATTATAGGTCGCCGAGGAAAATGATTTCATGGCCTCCTTCCCATCTTTCTCGATAGCCATTCTGGAGCATGAAAGTACACTAGAGTTTGGTTTTAATTTCTCTGCGGCCTAGGGGAACCAGCCTGGTTACCCTGCAGCTTCCACACAGAGGCCTAGCAAGCCATAAGCAAGGACTGTGCAAAAAATGTGGAGAAATATGGACTATGAAATGTCTGATCTGTATTTTGGAGCAACCATGTGATACAGCAGAGCAGTCCCTGAGGAAAGGTAGTAAGGAGTGGTCTGAGAATATATTATTTCCTGACATAATATGGAAGTTGCAACCTAGGTGAATAGGTTGTGAGTGAAGAGTAAGTGTAGATCATTACCTTTGGATTGGATCGAAAGGACAAAGGTACCTTAGGGACTTTTTTCTTCTTTTTTTTTTTAGGAGAGATTTTTCTTAATCTTTCCAGAAGTCCTGAAAAACATAGATAATTATTGGATTCTGTCATTTCAAATCATATTTAAGCAGTTTTTATGTTCCAAGTAGGAGCTGTTCTAGTCTATAGGCTAACTGGAAATATAAACAATTAATTTAAATGGTATTGAGTATCCGGTGGGCAGTAACAGCTTCTGTTCCAACCTAACAGTTAGCAATTTACAATTCTAAATGCATCTCTTTTCAACTCAGACAAATGGTGATTTTTGTGATATAAACATGTTGCTAGCATGAAGGGTTACATTTAATAAAGTTTTTTGAGTTTGCCACAGTGTGACATACAATAAAAATTAACGTACCTGCTTTTTTCAAAACACCCAAATCAATAGTCCTGTGGTATGAACTAACACTTTGCAAAAAATCCTTTAAAAAACCCATTTGTTCTCCTTCCGTGAAGCTACACACAGAGCACAGACCACCATGCACTGTTTCAGGGTATCATAGTAAAACACTGACACGCTGCATTTCTTCAAACTTTTTAAAATAGGTGATGTCAGCTGCTCCTGCTAGTGGCAGTAGTGAAATTACTGATATAATTGTCAATGTGATATTGTTGACGCACAATAGATATATGAAAGAAAGATAAATGTGAGACAACAAGGTAGAACTGTAGTTATGTTCATAGGATCTTCTTGAGACTGCTTCCGTCTGCTGTGCAAATCACAGTCTGGGGTTATGGCAGTGTATGAGTAACAACACTATAAAAGCTTGTACTAAAATTGATGGAATTCAACAGTTTTGATAAGAGCTGTAACAGTGTGATTCAAGCAGCACGAACACTGGTCTATAAGGTGTAAAGGTCTTTTGTTCGCTGTTTTGATCAAGGGATTCGTGTAACAGCCCCAAAAGGGATTGATCTCAACTCCATGCTGTCAAAACAGCATAGGAAATGATGTGAATTCTACTGCCTTGGCACAAAATATGATGACTTCAGCTTTATGCAAGTGTTTGGGGATTTCATCTGCAGAGATTCAACAGATCCAGAGTCAAACCAACTGAAGAGAACCTGCAATCCTTGCCTCCAGTCTTCTAGAAAGCACAGTTTTCACTGGTAGATTTGTACTTTGTAGAAATGAACATGTAGGAATTCATCTTTGTCACTGAATCCTTGTGCACTGAAAAGAAGTGTTTACAATGCAAACACTTTATAGCCTTGATTACACAGCACCGTGGTGAATAGCTTTACACTGCTAATAAAAAAGGATGCTGATGCCAGGGTTGAATTGAAATTCTTTACTTTGCATCTCACAGCCCTTCATGCTGTAAATGACTGCTTTACTAACAAGCCACAGGTGAACATTTCAGGATTGGATAAAGCTGTGATCCTGCGGGTGGTTTTGTGGCATTATACATTCACCCTACAGGGCACTGCATCTGTTGTATAATTAGCTGTTCTTTTCTTATAAATAGCTCCAAAGTATGGCAGGCTGATTTAATAGAAAGACGGAGGAAGACAAAATATTAATGAGAAGGATTGAGGTGGCATTAGGCAGTTACTATGGACAAAATTTGAACATGTGAGCTGTGTCATTGAAGTAAGCCCTCCTTAAAAGAAAAACAGGATGGGAACCTTAGAGACTAAATTCCTCTTTTCTTTTACAGAACAGGCAGCACCCAGGAGAGCTTCCCTAATTTATTCTGCCAAAGTGCATCAGCACTACTCTGGAGGCCTTTAAGAGTGGAAAAATATTTTTTTCCATCCCTCTGCTCCCCAAAGCCATTCAGTCTCTGGCTGTCTATTAAGGCTTCCAACCAAGGTGCTAAACCGTATCAATTGCAATGGCAATGATTTTTTTTTTTTTTTTTCTCCCTTTTTGTGGATGTCTGCCCACCAGGAACTGGACTGAGACCAGCAGCTCATTTTGCATTGGCTGCTTAGCAGCCGTCAGATGGTAATGGTATCTGATCACTGCGGACCTGGGCCAGAATCAAATGTGTGACCCAGGGGTTTAAAGCCTTGGTACCCTATTAGCAATCCCACTGAGCTGCCCTTGGGTTGGGAACTGCTTGAATACAGGCTGTCTGCCTTTCACTGAAATGAATATCAGCTTTGATTTTAATGGGAGTTTTCCATTGCCCAAATTAGTGGTGTTAAGGACAGGTAAGCAACTGAGGGAAAACTGACAGCTGAGACAATGCCAAATACAGCTGGAGCTGTAACTGTGTCCTTTTGTGCTTCACACTGGTGGTTTTTTCTAAACATGCCACAGCCTCCCTTTTGGGAATGCAATGTTGAAGCCTCCCTCCATGGTATGGAAATACTCTTAGAATGGGTGTTTTCTGAACATGGTTAAAGGACCATTTGTTTTTAATCCAGAAGAAACTAAAAGCATTCCTTTCAATCTAGGTGTTCTTCAAGTACTGAGGAGGTGACAGTAATATGCGGTTCCAGAAAGCACAAAAGAACTCCTTTATAACTCTTACATTTTCCTCAGTCTACACTGCAGTCATCTGTGGTGCTCTACAAACAAAGTTTTCTAATGTTGATGAGAGGTTGTTCTGTGTTACTGTTGCTCATTGTTCCTGGAATTGCTTCAGTTCCTTTCAGGTGTGGATGCCTGGTGCAAAATGTGCAGTGAAGGAGGCCTCCCCTCAGAAATGCAAGACCTGGAACTGGCCATCCATCATCATCAGACCCTGTACGAACAAGTAACACAGGCCTACACAGAGGTATGTGCTTCCCAGTGAAGAATGCATCTGTTAAGTGATAACAGATATTTTACTGCCTTTTGGAGCTTAGCTTTCCTAAATGAGATAGGTTCTGCTCTCCTTTTCTGCACATTTTTCAAAGAAGTCAGATCTCATCCCAGAGTTTAGGAAGTGACTCCTAGCAATTTGTTTGTAAGGACACAACAGAACAATCTGGGGGACAAACCCCATACAGAAATGAAATCTAGACCTAGCTTTGGAGCTGCAAAGAGCTACTTCACTGCCTTTGCTGAACAGGGAATTCCTCTCAGCTCTGAGCAGTTTTACTCCTGTTGGTTTCCTTCCATGATTAGAGTCCTGACTCAAGCACAGGTATGCTAACGGGAACAGAGGATGTGAAAGGCTTTTTCTTTCAATATTCTTCAAGTCACAGAGGTCTCAGGTTCCTTATTACAATGAATTCTGCAAGAGACTGTGCTTTAGATAGAATCCCAGAATCTAGAATCATTTAGGTTGGAAAAGATCCTTGAGATCATTGAGTCCAGCCATTAACCTAGCACTGCCAAGTTCGCCACTAAATGTGTCCCTAAGTGTCACATCACATGTATTTTTATATACTGTTGTCAAATATCTCAGACCTAAATAGAGTATGTGTTGTTTTCCTTTAAAAGAGGGTGCCAAAGATGCTAAGACTAAAACACATTTTCTGGCATTTTGTCAAAAAAACCTTAAAATTCTTCACTTGCTTTTCCCCTCAGCTACCGACAAACAGCCAACATTCACTTCATCTGACTGTGATGAGGGTCTGACTGAGGGTCTGTATTCAGTCCACTATATTTTGCAAGAGGGCTGCAGGACCTCCCTGGCATCTGGGAGGGGTCCTGTTAGGAATGAGGCTAGTCTGGATGTTCACCCCAGGCACAGGCTGACCTGCAGATTACCCTTGGGGTGGGAAGCCATGTACATTGTATGTTGCATTCTGTTATTCATGTCTCTAGGACTCGAGCTTGTTGCAAAGTAATTCACAGATCACCTGAATGCCTGGGTTTAGTTGTATTTTTCATTTTCCTGTACTGTGCTCTGCTTGACTTGTGTTCCTGGGTACCAAGGCTTTTTGCTCCTTGCAGAGTTTTCCAGGCTGAACTGGAGGACCATGGTAGTGCTTGCTATATTTAACAAGTTATCAAGTGAAGACTCCAGAATAGAACATAGCAACTCTCCTCCATGCTCAGCCTTTGCTCTGGTCATCACATTCTGGGAAGAATCTATAGTATAAAATAGAGGAGGAAAGGATTTGCTAATCTAGAATGGTGGTAGGCACTCATGTGTACACAGCAAAGTTGTGTAGATACCTTGAGGATGAATGAAAGGAATGTTAGACAGAAATCTCCCGTTTTCTGAAGACCTGAAAGAATTTGGGAGTTAGTCAATTAGAATGAGGAAATCTGGGTTGCAGTTACAAAGGGCAATCCTTTATCCGGTGCTTAGGCTTCTCAAGAACAGCGGGTTGTGTGAGCAAACACAGAACAGTTCTGGTGATCTCTAGTTGTAACAAGTGCCTAGTCAGCTGAAACTAAAGATTCTTTATTGCATTTAAAAATTATTTCTAAAAATTAAGTCAAATTGGGATTAAATAAAAAACAATAATATTTGAAACCGGCATTTTGTTTATGAGCCCCAATCTTAGTTTTTGTGAAATGAAAGTTCATTTAAAACTCATTACCAAAAGCAACCTTTAACATGTATATTGCTTTTCTTGATGCTTCCTCAGAAAGTTATAACTTGTTGCAGACATAGCTGTTTAAAACATTTTTATATTATTTCACTGATAAGTACATTTTTAAACTCTATGTAGAATTTTCCATAGAAAAGCATAACAGAAAGCTTTCGGTCTGTTATTTCAGAAATGTTCACCCTTTTCCTACAGCTACGTGGTGAGCTGAAAAGGCTGAATTAGGAGTCCTGCCTTCTCACCACATGCCTATTTCTCCCATCTAGATAATGCCATTTGCCCATAGAAAATAATGTTTCTTCCCTCAGAGCTCTCTATGGTGGGATGAAAATTGTAGCTTTTTTTTTCAGAGTCACTGACAATGTGTTTCTATTTCTATAATTGTAAAAGATTTGGAATAGAATGAATGTTCCTTGGGATAACCATTTAATATTGATATTTAATAGGCTATTAATTAACATTTAATAGGATATATGGGCCTATTCTGTCCTGTTACAGAGTATAACAAAGCAGTATAGATTCACTGCAGGAACCAAAGAATCTTAGGGAGACTCTTGTTTTCCATCTTGCTCTGGTTGTAGGCATAATTATTGGCCTTCTTTCCTTTATTGCACTTGAGTGAAGCTCAGAAATAACGGAGGCAGAGATCATGGGCCTGATATGCAACCCATGGCTAAGCAATCCTCTCCTGTGCTAAGCTGAGCTGCTGCCAGAACAGGCCGCCTTCTGAGAATCAAGGGGTGCTTTTGCTTTTACTTTGGGTAGAACAGTGCTGGAGGGAGGAGATACGCATGAGATGTATGAGAATCTGCCTTTGGCAGATTCCCCTCTTGCAAAAAAGAGTTCCTCTAGATGTTTCCATCCAGGGTGTGTTTATGTTGCTCCACCAGTGTTTCTAGTGGATGAACAGCAGGAGACAAACTTGGGACACCCGTACTGAGGACTGCACTGATTTAGTAAAGACAAGGAGAGGAAGAGAGAGAGGTTTTCTCCAGTCAAATTTGAGCCTGGTTGATTGTAAGAGCATCTTGTTCAGTGTGACTTGATTAACTGCACTTTACTGTCTGTTCCCAGAGGCATGGTGTATTTGCTCTAAAGACCAATCTATTTTTTTTCCTAGTGCAAATTGTAGCTGTTTCACAGATGGCACCATTAGTCTAGTCACTTGCAAGGCTTTGGAGGTCTTTCTGACCCACTGTATAGGATATCTACAGATTTTAACTTATTCCCTAGCTATGCGTACAGCAATTGTGAAGATTATTCCACTAGAGCAACAATGTTTTTTGGTTCAGCCAAGGTCACATAACTTCTTACAGAGGCATTTGCAAACTGCCCATCCCAGCCCTTCTCCTACCATGAAGCCAAAATGCAGGAATATCACCATGTGGCAGGAGTGTAACTGTGTGTTGTGTCAGGTGGTGAGTTAAATCTTCCCAGAGAGTCCAGCAGCAATTCTGTTCTTTTCAAAATAAGTGAGATATGGTAAAATTTACTTTGACAAATTCTGCACTAGCAATTACATTTTACAGGGACTGCAAGTCATGCTGGGTGCAGGTCTATTCAGTTTAAGACTTTTGCAATACTTCTTAAAAATACATTGTAAGTGAGACATAAGTGAAGTGGTGCAACTAAACTGGGTTGTTGATGCTTGTCTTCTTGCACAGCCCTTGAAAAATTCAAAGGATTCACATGAAAAGAGATTTGGTGATTATTTTTTTTGCAGTTATAAGGAGAAAGTGGAAATGACTGAAAGAGCACAGTAGGTAGCTTCTCCATTTGTGAAGCTGTTCCTTTCTGAAATCAAAGGTGAACTCTGAGAGCACAAACCTTTTATGCCCATTGATTGGGAATGCAATAATATTAGCAACAGAAATGCCTTCAGAAAAGAAACACCTAAGCCAAAGAACTTCAGAACTGCAGAAGATATGAAATCCTGGAATACATATCTCTAACCCTTGTGAATACCAGGTACCATTGGTTACCCAATTGGCCCTGTTGGCCATATTCACCCAAGTGATCTGGAAGAGCGCTTTTTTGTAAGATGACTGAATTTAGTGTGGTGTTTTGATCAGTCATGATCAGTACACAGAATATTTCACCCATGGATCTGATCCCTCAAAATGGAAGAACTGCAAGATTATACCTCTGGGAGACAAAAAACTGACATGCAGGTCCTGGATTTGGGAGGTGATGTAGGTATGAGTAGGTCTATGTTATGGCACAAAGTTTCCAGGAAAGTTGTCCTGAGTAAAGCATATCTCATATTGCCTGTGCAATCATATATCTCTCACTGGTAAACTTTTGAACCTTTATTGTTGGTCCTGATTCTGCTGTGATTCCTATCAGTGTAAATCAGCAGGGACTACACTAAAAGCATTGTAACAGCACTCAGGGACAGATTCAGACCAACTGCAAGCCCAAAGGCCAGTAATAGGAACATAGTGAATTCACATTGAATTTAGCCAGTGCAAAGGGTGAGTTTCTGGTCTACTACAGTGCTCCCACGTGTGTGCATAGCCTTGACTTCCTGTTCCCAGTAATTAAATTGTTGCTGATTATCTTCCCACAGATAAAATAGGATATAGTATGCATGTCTCCTTCCCTGTCTAGAAGCCGCTTCTTCCTACCTAGCAGCTATTGCCACCTCCATCATGTTGCCAAGGTAACACCTGTGCCTCTGTGTTTCCTCCTAAAATCTCCCCCATATCACCACTATCCACTGCTGCTGGCGAGTACAATCATTCCCTCCGTGACCCCAGCAGGCTCCAGCATGTACAAATTGTTCCAGCTGGTCTTCAGCAGCCACTGACTTTGAGTATAGAAAGCCACTCCCTATGGACTCTCCAGTTATTTCCTGATTTAATTCCAAATTGCCCTGAATATTTAAAAAATCTCCAAGGATCTGCCTAAGCCCACCTAATAGTCACATAGTATGATGAGATTTGACTCCCACTTTTGCCAGTATAAATCTCAAAGGCTCTCTTGATTTCTAGGAAAATGCACAAGACACACACTGCTACAACAGTCTGGGATGTGGCATGGCTTGCCAAAAGACACAGGTTTGGGTATTAATGGATATTTGCTCTATTTGTAAAAGCAACTTATAATACAGAAATAAATGACATCCTTGAGATGTGTTTTAACTTTGACTGATAATATTCAAAGTTTAAACCGGATGAAAAACATTCATTAAGCCATTCTCTAGCAAGGTTGGTGATTGTGATTGGATAGAAATAAAATGACTTGTGAGGAAATCTTGTCATTTCTAATGTAGTTTGTTTCAGAAGGAAAAGAGAAAAGTGGGCTGGAAACAGGAGGGGGATTCCAATAGTGTCCTCATTTACCATTTCTGTTTAACAGAATATTTTAACTTTGTAATCTGAATCTGACAAATATTTCAAAAACCCATTTTTAGAGAACCAGTGCATGCAGACATTTGTTAATAGCACTTTGGTTTTTACAGTTCCATTTTTCATTTTGCCCCTGCAATGTGAAAATGGTCCAGGAAAAAAATCTGGCGTTAAAAAATCTGGCATTCTGGGGTTTTTTAATGCCCAAATGCCTTTGCATCTGCAAATGTGTTTTAATATGCTCAAAAAAGGTTACACATGTGCAAAGGGCTTTGGATTTGCCAACAAACTTTGTAGCCCATTGAAAATGGGGACTATAGGTCCCTCTGAGCTATCCCTGGGGAAGAAGAGAATCATTATCATATACTAATTTATTTTTCACTGCCACTGAATGAAATACAGAATTGGAATGTCACACTTCTCAACGTATATACATACTTAGTAATCCTACGAAGAAAGGACTCTCCCTTATCCTACAGAATATGAATGACTCTGCCATCTGTGGTTTTCTTAAAATGCCACCTCTTCACAAAAATAGGCCCGCTATAGCAAATGTCACCTGTCATCAACTAGTATATGTCAAGGCTTTTCAGTGCCCGAGTGTCAGAACGTAATATAGTCTTGGGATCTCTGCTTTTATGTATGCAGTCCCAGCAGTGCAGTATCTGTGCTCCTGCTGAGTGACACAGCAGGCCCACTAGGAAACGAAGGCAAGTGCTGAATGTGTAAGTACAAGTCAAAAAGAGATGTTATGAGGTCTTTCTTCCTTTCTGACTAAAATAAGGAAAGCACACAGGGGAAAAAGAATCAGCTAGATTTTTCTCTGTCAGCTATTGGATGTTTAAGTATCAGTGCAGTGAAGTAGACCTGTTTCTTCACTCAGGTGAGCCAGGATGGAAAAGCCTTGCTGGATGTCCTACAGCGTCCCTTGAGCCCTGGGAATTCTGAATCCCTCACCGCTACTGCAAACTATTCCAAGGCTGTTCACCAGGTGTTGGATGTGGTACATGAAGTCCTGCATCACCAGCGGCGTCTGGAGAGCATCTGGCAACACAGAAAGGTCCGGCTACATCAAAGGCTGCAGCTCTGTGTTTTCCAGCAGGATGTTCAACAGGTAACATCATTACTAAGGGAGATCAAGAATAGTCTTTTCTTTGCAGCCATAAAGGTTGTTTGGTGACTCATCTAGAGGATATTGCCATAACCAAGACTTCACATGCAGATCTATGCTAGAAATGTGCTGAAGTCCTAATGTGCCTTTCAGTATCTCTCAGTTTCATGTTGGAAAACATCAATTAGTACATTGATTATTGGTCAGTCCATTCCCCACAAGAATGTCACAATGTTGTCAGTGGTTAATTTTTCACAAGTGAGCAATTAGCTGTAGGTACTCTACTGTTCTTGAGAAAATTATGTTTAACAGAAAAAAAGAATTTCAAGTGTAAAAAGCAATTGAACTGTAATGTATTTCACCTTCCTGTGTGGAAAAACATACAGATACCGACCTTTCAGTGGTGGTGTTTGGATGATCTTTGCATTATTGCTATTTATGTCATCCACATACCTGTGCTAGGAGTTTGTTGTCTCAAATGAACTGCACACCCCAATGTGCAGAGCCCACCTCACAGAAATACAGTTTATACAGTACAGGCTCGCCTCTGAGAACTCAGGCTCCAGGTGAATAACTCACAGAAATACAGTTTATACAGTACAGGCTCATCTCTGAGAACTCAGGCTCCAGGTGAGTAACTTTTTTCTCCCAAAGGAATCCATCTGAACACCAGCACAACAGTGTAACTGACAATAAGTACGAGATACCATGTTTGTAGCTGCCAAATATGCAAGCACAATCAACAGATGTTACAGGACTCTGCTCATTCAGGATGGTGTGGTTTGTTTAAGTGCCCCATTACAGCCCGAAGCAGATGTTGGTAGCAATATGGTACTTGCTTTAAATGAAGAGGCTGAATACTCTAATCATGTTTATGGAGCATTCTAATGTCCCTGGGGTTCTTTATGTCATTGCCTTCCTCCAAATGAAAAATGAGGTGGAGACAGAGCGACAGAGCTGTCACATGCAAAATAGACATAAACCCACAAGGACAGGAGAGAGGCAACTTTTATTCAACATGCGAATTTGTGGTCCTTTTAGTGCCATACTTGAAGTACCCCAGCACAGACGGAACTGCAGCTGTAGGTACCCTTTGCAAATATGTATGACCGTATCTTTGGCAGTTTTGAAAAGTTTGCCAGAACTTCTACCTGCTCAGTTTTTCCTATGAAACCACACAAATATTCATGCCATATGCAACAGATGTTTAATTTAAGCAACTTCATTTTCGTGACGTGTCAGCAAACATACTGCATGGTAATGAAATTCATAAACTATATATTAAATAGAGCATGTACTTGGAATTCAGTTAGAACACTCTCTGCAAACTATATGAAGGCTGACATATTATCTTAATACAATTTTGAGGTTAAAATCTCAAAAATCAAGGGTTGTAAATTCTGATGTTATTATGCTTTTTCCATTTGTGGTGTATAATGTCAATAATCATCCAAATTATTTTAGGTATTCTTCATCCCCTAGAGTGATTTACACTTTTGTTCAAACCTTCCAACCCAAAACATTCTCTTTTACATCTTCTGAAATCAGTAGAAGTGTTTATGAGGTTCATTCATGAAACCCATTCAGAATTTTACTTCCCACATTTGCAATGCAATGAGGCTGTGTCACTGGTTTTCAAAAGGAGCAAGTCTTCTTGACTTCTGGTGAGAGGAAAAGAAATGAGCAGTAAGAGTCACTGGAGTACAGTCACTTTAGACATCACTCTGTGTGAGTTCTGTTGGCAGCAATCTTTCCAAATTTTTCTCTTAATGGGTAGTTATTATTTGGGAAGCAAAAACTTAATGACAGACATGTTTCTGTCCTAGCACACTTCCTGGAGGCATCTCTTTGTCCGACTTGGAAAGTAGAGAGGAAGAGATGAATCATTCTGTTCACTAAACATCTGTACTATTCAAGATAAATGCTTTGTAACTCATAAATGAAATTATCAGCTAAACAGAAATATGAAGTGTAGACTCCATGAGGAGGAGGAAGATATCTGAGTATGATGATAGGGGTTTTTTTGAAAATAATCACCTCCTAGGTATCTGTCGTGCAATTCCTATTATGTTTATTTTGTTAAATGCCCATCAGTTGGCAGGTGAAGCTGTCTACCTCTGTATTGTCACTAATCATAAGTAACATTTATCTATCATAATTTCTTGCCTTATCAAAATTTAATAACCTTTAACTAAGTTCTTCCTGGATCAAGTCTAAAAAGAAAAGATGTGGGAGAACAAATCCTGACAGGAGATCCCTGAGTTTATTAGACTTCACTGTGTTCTAGACAAGTGATGATACAATGTAGTTTCTCTAAGGAAGGTGCTCCTCTTCCCTTTTCACCCAGCTCAAAATTAGGCTTAAAATTCTCACAGATATAATTTTCCCTGTCGGGATGTGCCATGGCTCACCCTCTCCAGCTGCTGGCCAGTGCAGTAAAAGATTCTGGTGAAAGATGATCACTGTGTCAGAACTCACAGTCCCTCATTGTTCATCTCTACCTTTCTCTTCATGTCAGCTGTTCTGCATCAATCTTCTCTTAAAAGCAGATGTGAATAGGGACGGGTTTTGTTGTGTTGCATGTTATTGATACAGACTCCAGAATTATTTTGCCATTAAAAGTATTAATAGCTTTTGGTAAAGAGTCATCTCCAAGAAGAGATACTTATGTATCTTAGGAGATCAATTATTCCTCACCTAACTGCTCTAGTTAGTCTTGCCAGAGGGATGAAGTATCTAGGCAACCTAGGTATACCATACCAAGTGTTCATAGGGAAGTCTTCCAAAACTGGCTAGCTGGATGAAAGCTTTATGCAGGCCAAGTGTGTGCCTTTTGGACTGGATTTAAGAGTTAAGCTGTGCTAAACAGGATTCATTCATATCATTCCTAGTGTACTCTGCACGATTTGCAAGGTATACATGCTGTATACGTTACTGGCACGTAAGGGCTATGTTCTCAGATAGCTTCCCACTGTCAAGGAGATGCTTTTGATTCTAGCTGGGTTTCAGTTGGAACTGCACAAAAGCTGAAAACATTGAAAATGATGGATTAAAAGATAACAGTAAGTTTTTATTCTAAGATAGAAAGTTAGCCATCCTTACAGTTGTGTCATAACAAAAATACAAGTTCTGTTTTAACAAAAAAAAAGAAGTTTAAATAAACACCATGGATTGCCAAGTTACAATATTAACGTAAGAAATGTTAAGCTATAAAATGTCATTACAAGTATTCACTACCTCACACCACCAAACATTTTACAAGGTTATTTGCTATTACATCTATGCATTAATACAATTAGCTCAATTTGCACATGTGAACCAAGGTAAATAATAGTGTGCTAAGGACAATGAGTGATTAATATATAGCATTTTAAAGAAGGAAAGAAAATGCATGATGTGAAGCTGCATTTGCAGCCTTCACAGGAAATGGAGCCCCGTTCACACAGAAGGAATAACAGATAAGGCGATTTGTGAGCTGTTATGAGGCTCTACACAGGCAGGAACTGACAAGGAACTCTTTTAACACCAAAAGTATTTAGGATCATTATAAAAATGTTGGGTTGTCGAGTGTGTAAAATACTTCCTTGCTATGGTTGTTTTTTAGAAACACTATCATTTCAGATAGGGAAGAGCGGCACTGTGTGACTGTTTTAGAACACAGCTGTGGGAGGAGGTGCTGAGATTGTGTCCTGCAAGGGAGAAAAAAAAAAAGACCTTTTGACATTCATATTGGTATTGTGTAATTGCTGTAGATGCTTCAGCCCATTTTTGGTAGCTTTTCCTTTTTGCCCTTTCCAGCCCTGGGTCTCCCTCTTCTGCAGACTATTTACCAGCAAATTAAGACCATTTCCATTTGTGTTGAGATTTGAAATTGTTCTTCTGTTGTCTTCAATTTCCACTGCTTTCAACTCGTACATCCTGAACAGCAACACTGTGAAAGTGCAAGGGTAACATAACTGTTGTACCATGAGCAGATGTTCCCAGCAGCCTTAGAAATAGCTGAAGTAAGTTTATAATGCTGTTCTTCACCCCATTGCCTATCCCATCCCCTTTGTTTCATATGGGCAAGAATTTTGTCTGAATTATCTCACTTTATAAACTCATTCAAGTGAAGCTGTAGAGCCTGAAGAATAACTATTAAAGTAGAAGGAAAATGGAGACCTATCAAAATGGTCTATGCAAACTCTGAACTTGGTATTTTAAAGCACTTTCATGGCAGAGTAGTCAGTCTGCTACTCTTATTCTGCAGGCTTCATTCCTTCTCATAGAAATTCTCAGTCTTTCCATCATTTCCATACATACACACCAACACTTAGCCTGATGCAGCATTTTTCTCCACAGATTCACATGATTCTCTTAGGGTCATTGCTGGTGCTGTTTCCTTCTTGCTTCACTTTGGTTGTTATTGTTGCCTGTAAAAGAAGAGCTGGAAAATAAGTTGATGTAGAAGTACTGTGTGTGCTGGTGGAGTTCTTTGGCTATGTACAAAGCCTTGAGTTATCTGGGGTGGCTCTGCATGGCCAAATGAAACAGGCCACTCATGCCAGATGAAGACCTGTGGCAAACAACACATACTAAGAAAGTTAGGACTGTTGCCATACCAGGTGTAGTGATGTCTCAAATCCTCTTTGCTATTGAAAGGGTCAAGCTAGACCAGTGTCAGGTTCACCTGGGTTTCTCTAAATCTGTGGATCTGCATTCTGTTGGCTTCATGCCCAGATACATTAATGGATGTAGCTTTGGTTTCCTTGTTGGTTATCTGCCTCTGGTGATGGATAAAAAGGCCATGTGGCCATCCTGATATCATTACATTTACCAGCTGCCTTTATTGTGGGAGACTGCAAAGTATTGCAGAGGAAAGGCTGTCTGTCTTCATAACCAAGCACTTTAACTTGCAATGTGTCTGGCTTTTACTGGCCAAGAAAACAGATCAGGGCATGATCCTGGCATTTCTTGTATGGAAAAATGTCCTGCCAACTCTGTCTGTCTCTATACACTATCGG